GTAGCAGTGAGGTGCTTTCCAACCCCTGTGGAGCATCACAAATACATAATATGCTTGATTTGTGGGCTGCATCCAGAGCCCACTGAAGTCCGTGGAAAAACTCCCATTGACTTCAGTGAGGGCTGGATCAGCCCCTACGTACAGATTTATTTTAAATCTATGTAGAGGTTATAAAAGGTTACACTGCACTGTCACCTCTTACTGGGCTCAAGGCAGGGGTAATGGTAACATTCAATGGCCTGTGTTATACATGTAACCCCTTCCTGGGGCATCCTGGCCCTCACTGGTGATGGATCTGTCTGACCTCCACCCCCACCCAAAAGACCCTGAGTTCCCAGCAATTAGTGCTTCCACCTAGTGGCGAGGTACACAAAGGACTAACAACCCCTTGACTGCTAGGACATTAATTAACTAGTACATTGTGTGACATTGTGCAGTCTATATGGTTTTATAAAAATATGGTAACGAGTAAATATAATGTAACCGGAATTTACTTTATGCAAAAGGTTTCTTGTAAGATATTATTACAAAGCTTATAATCTACTGAATGTGATTATTCTATTTGTATAAATGTACCACTCTTGTATTTGAAACTAGAAATATGAAATATAACTTTGAGAGCCTATTGTAATTATGCAAAGTGTGGGACATTAATGGTGATTTGGAATCTTGATGACTCCCATTAACCAGGACAATTGTCTGCCGATGGGTGTGTTTTACCTGTAAGTTTTCCTGTATACGTGTGTGCTGGCAAGTCGGCAATGAAGTCTTGCACTGACATGTGATCGTGTCACCTGAACTGGAATTTATCTTTAAACCTGGGGCTTTTTCAGTGAGCGGGGGTGGAAACCCAGAGGGACAAAGGATTTCTGCCTTAGGCAAAAGATATATGAAGGGGTGGAGGAGAACAAAGCAGGAGAGGAGTCATCATGAAGAATTCCCTAGCTATCACCTGAGCTAGAACAAGAGCTGTTCCAGGGGAAAGAAGGCCTGGAAGGTGTCCAGTCTGAGGAAAAAACTTACTGAAGCATCTCTGAGGATGAGATTATCTGTATTTAGTTTGATTAGACATAGATTTGTGCATTTTGCTTGGTGACTTACTTTCTGTATTTAATGAAATCACTTTTTACTTATTAATTAACTTCGAGTATGTATTAATACCTGGGGGAGCAAACAGCTGTGCATATCTCTCTATCAGTGTTATAGAGGACAAAGAATTTATGAGTTTATCCTGCATAAGCCTTGTACAGGGTAAAACGGATTTATTTGGGTTTAGACCCCATTGGGAGTTCGGCATCTGAGTGTTAAAGACAGGAACGCTTCTGTTAGCTGCTTTCTGTAAACCTGCAGCGTTGGGGCAAGTAATTCAGACCCTGGGTCTGTGTTGGAGCAGACGTGAGTGTCTGGCTCAGCAAGACAGAACACTGGAGTCCTGAGCTGGCAGGGAAGGCAGGGGTAGAAGTAGTCTTTGCACTTCAGGTGGCAGCTCCCAAGCGGGTTTCTGTGATCTAATCTGTCACACATTGAATCTCAGTCCACATAAAAACAGTTTAATCCCTGGATAGGAACAAGATAAGCTAAAGCAAGGGGATGAGAACAGGGAAAGGACTCAGGGATGTTCTTGCTACCAGAGATAGCATTGCCACCTAAGGTAGCAGCCCCTCCTCCTTCTCTCATATTGTCGGGGCTCCCGTACCCAACCTTGCCAGACTGCAGTGATGGTTAGGGTGACCCATATTTGCAGGCATAACTGGTGCAGTTCTCCTGCTCTTTTGTTACCACAGGGATAACAGTGTTTTATTACCCCCAAATTTAAAATGTAACTGAATTTTGACCACAGTTCTCCAAACTGCCACATATGGGAAACACAAATGAGGCCTGGCCCATCCTGTCATTTCCCTTGGCTCACCACGAAATGCCAGCAGACAGCTCCCTCCCCTATGAAGCTTCTGTCATTTGGACCTCTCAGCAGCTCTGGGGCACCATGACGGGATTCACTCACCAGAGCGGCACCTCCTGCTGGCCGTCTCGGGGATTAGCTCACTCGGCCCTTTTCTGGTGAGGCCTCTCCCGCCGCCTTCTCTGCCTGCAGAAATGCCTGATTCCAGGAACCACAGAGTCCTCTTCATGACTCGGCCCTCAGTCATACCACCATCCATGTTTTCCCTGTTCTGGGGGGGAGTATCTCCCAGCTCTATAGTTCAGCCACTTCCTTAGTGGCGAGTGGGGGGGAGACGGATGCACCCACTACTCTGGGTCCCAGCCCAGGGACCCTACAGATAGCAGCCTCCTGCTGAATCTCCTTAACTTCTCCGACAAAACTGCTTCAATTCCCTGGGCCACTTCCCTGCGTTCTACCATTTGGTAAATCTGCTACTTTTGTGAATCAGCGTCGCTGCCGTGGAGGATGCAGTTCATAGGATTTACTATAGAGACAAGGCGGGTGAGGTAATCTCTTTTATTGGACCAACTTCCATTAGTGAGAGAGACAAGCTTAAGCTTGACTCTGTGCGTACAGGAAGTACAGAGCGCAGCAGAAGCTGACAGGGTTGGGGCTTTTTATACAGTGCCTGCGAATGAGGGCAGCCGCATGAAATCTGTACTGGAGACAGTAATGAACCCTTCTGGGGTATGGCTGAACGGAGCTGTCTCCCAGATGTTTCAGCTGATGGCCATGGTGTGTCTCGCCTGTGTGGTTCTGAAAGCAATCCAGCTGTACTGGAGGAGGCAGAAACTGCTCAAAATCTTCAAAAGTTTCCCAGGACCTCCCACCCACTGGCTGTATGGCCACCTTCAAAAGGTAAAGTAGCAACTGGAACTGTAGCGCGTGTGTGTGTGTGTGTGTCTTGGGACTGTACTTTTGTGTGGGTGGGTGGGTGAGTGTGGGTGAGAAACCAGTAAGGTAGCAATTGGGACTGTACTATGTGTGTCTGTGTAAACTGATCATAGACCAACCTCAACTACTAGACAAGTGGTGAGCAAACTTTTTGGCCTGAGGGCCACATCGGGGTTGCAAAACTGAATAGAGGGGCAGATAGGGAAAGCTATGCCTCCCCAAACAGCCTGGCCCCCACCCTCTATCTGACCTCTCCCACTTCTAGCCCCCTGACTGCCCCCCTCAGAGCTCCTGCCTCATCCAACTCCCCCTGCTCATTGTCCCCTAGAAACCAATTTAAGAGTACAGGACTGTTGGCATTCAGAGTTCTCCTTTTGGAAGCGAGGGGACCGGTTGAAGGAAGGATTCCTTAAGCAACACTTAACATGCATTCCTGCCTAGGCCTGCTAGCTATTGTCCCATCTGACTAATCCAGTCCCCTGACTGTAGCAAGGCTCTTCCCCATTCGGAGTGTGCTGCTAAAGATCTGTCTTGAATTACATCTCCCTCTTACTAACAATGCAGCTTCAACAAGACAAAAACCTAGACAACCTTCACACAAGTTGTCAGTCACAGCCAGGTCTGTGCTTAAATCCCAGCTGCTGGTGTAAATGGGCATCGCTCCAGTGCCTTCAGTCGAGCTATTCCGGTTTCCATCAGCTGAGGCTCTGGCCCTGAATCCTCATTTGAGCTAGAGTCTAGATGTGCTACATGGGAGAACTCAGACGGAAAGCTCAAAGGCCCGGGACAGACTTGGCCAGGTGTTCTCTGGGGATGGGATGAGGAAACATAATGGGAGGTGGAGGTCAGGGTCCAGGTGGATATCTGAAGGCAGAACAGGGAGAAAGGGACTGGGTTGAAAGAGGAATTGCTTAAATAACAATTGTCTGGGCTAGTTCTTATTCTTCCCCCTGGCCTTACCCACAGTCTCCCACCTTAATCTGCCTTTCTAACAAACAGGGGACCTCTGCACTTCGAGTGATGTTAAAAGCCTAATCAATAGCATTGCTAAAATGGAGATATGTACGCATACTTGGCCTATTAACTATTCTCTTGAACTACATCTACCTTTAATTTACAACACAGCTTCAACAAGAGGATGAACTAGACAATAGAGCGTCCTGGGCAGAACAATACCCACGCTGTCACCCCATGTGGCTTGGCAGTTTCTTAGGATTCTTGTGCATCAACCACCCTGAATATGCTAAGGCGGTATTCAGCAGAGGAGGTAAAGACACTGTGTCTTGTGATGTCCTGTCCCTCTGAATGTTTGAGCACTCTCTCCTTCCTAGTGCTACGCCTCACTTTCTTGTTAGTTTCAGTTTTTCAGCTAGAACAATAAAGCAAGCACACCACAAAACTGTGTTTCCAGCAGTTCCCTCTGTGTCTATCTCCTTCTCTGCTGGGTCCAAAAATATAACACCTCTTATATCTGAGTGATCAAAATATCATTCCATACTGCAATTGCCACTCAATGCTATTATCTGTAAAGCAGAGGTCTCAGAAATGGATATTTACATAAGGGTGAAGTGAAAAGCATCTATTTAAAAAAAATGCCATTGTTTTAAGATGGAAACTGGTACAGAATGAAATCAGTGTATTTTGTGAGCATTTTGATCAACTGTTTTCAATCCTCACACAGAAAATGATCACTCTCCATCGAAGAGCAATTAATAAATGCTGAAGCCCAAGCACTGAACGTGATTTACACCAGCTAAGCAGGTTCTGGCTACTGATATACAGGGCCTGTAATTATTTATGCCTGCAACTTTGTGAGTGGAAAAAAGTAGACCTCTTTACACCAGTGTGAAAATGCAGCCCTTCATATCCATTTCAATCTGCATTGCCCACACTCCAGAGAGGTTGGCTCATTGCACATACCTGGAAAATGACAGGTTGTGGAGACTAGAACTGTAGCCTCTTCCTTTATGGGCCAAACCTACTCAGCTGAAAGCACCACCACACTAGAGTGACATTTTTTTCAGTGCAGACGGGACCTGACTCAGGGGCAACACTCAAGTTATGAGAATCGGGGGCTAATGAGTCAATATTCCTAAAGGAAAGAGCAAGTCTGAGCAGGCACAAGGTGGAAAATGCAGACTGGGAGGGGATGGATTGATTGGAAGGCGTTTTAAGCATAACCAACCCAATTTGGTCTTTCCCCAGTGCTCTGATACTATGGTGATAGGAATGAATCTGGATAGATGGATGAATGAGGGAGAAGAGCATGCTCTAAATAGAGAGAATTGTGGTCACCTTTTTTTACTACGGCTCCATTTATAAATAGTCAATGATTAGAAAGAATTGATGTATTGGAAAATGGCATGTCAATTGCTATAGAGGAGTCCAAGAGGTCAGTAGGTTGCTTACAGCCATCTATTGTGCCTTTTTCTGATGCGGCTATAACCCCCTATAACAACACATATTACTCCTCTCTGTTACATGCTTACAATGTCTGTCAGACATTTATTAACCCTTTAGAATCTTTGAATGGAACCTTGATATAAAATGTAAGAGTTTTCCTTTATGGAAATTGTCCTTCCCAATACAGATTTTGCTACTAACGAGAGCATGATTAAAGTTTAGGAGAAATTCTAATAATTGTTTGACTAACATAGGATGAGATTTTGATGCCTTACTGTGGGTAGCACCTTATTCACCTTCTGTATTATTTCACCCTAATAATATATTTCTCTTCTCTGTTGAATTCTACAGACCCTAAGTCTCTTGTGACATACAGTTTCCTGGTTCCCTGGATTGGTTTGTACTATCATATTTCATTCTCATTTACCTCATGTAACAGTATTGCTGGTGATATTCATGAGGGAAGTCGCACCATTTGTTGTGCCACATAGATTCAGAGCGATAGTATTTAATAGCTAACTCACAAAAACGACTGTGACAGTAACTGGAAAGGTATGAATGAAATGCAGGAAAGTGGAGAAATCAGAGTTCAGATGGACATTATTGTAACTAGATATTTCAGAGGTTTAATTCAGAGCAAATTAGATACAATATTTTCCACATGATATTATGTGGTAATACGTGACAAATGTAAACAAGTATCAGATCATCTTTGAGCCTTAACCTTGAATTTCCTTGTCTGGATTGAAATTAGACCTGGTTAAACTTCATTGTACATAAAGTTTTCTCCTCAAAAAAATATGGCTTTGTTGAAATTGAAATTTGTGGGGAAAAATATCAATTCTGACACAAATTTTCAGCTTTCAGGAGGATATTTCTCAGTGATAAGTTCATTGAGGACAGGTCCATCAATGGCAAATAACAAAGATGGTCAGGGATGTAACCCCCTGCTCTGGGTGTCCCTCACCTCTGACTGCCAAAAGGCGGGAGTAGACGATATGGTCATTGGATAATTGCCCTGTTCTGTTCATAGCCTCTGAAGCACCTGGCATTGACCACTGTTGGAAGATAGGATACCTGGCTAGATTAGTGGCTCTCAACTTTACCAGATTACTGTAACCCTTTCAGGAGTCTGATTTGTCTTCCGTATCCCCAAGTTTCACCTCACTTCAAAACTACTTGCTTACAAAATCAGACATAAAAATACAAGTGTCACAGCACTTACTGAAAAATTGCTGACTTTCTCATTTTTACCATATAATTAGAAAATAAATCAATTGGAATATAAATATTGTACTTACATTTCAGTGTATTGTATATAAAGCAGTATAAACAAATCATTGTATGAAATTTTAGTTTGTACTAACTTCACTAGTGCTATTTATGTAGCCTGTTGTAAAACTAGGGAAATATCTAGATGAGTTGATGAGACCTCTGCATACCCCTGTTCAGAACCACTGGGCTAGACGGACCAGTGGTCTGACCCAGTCTGGATGTTCTTATGTTCTGAAGAAAAACTCTCATCCTTCTGATGAATACACTGGATAGAACCGAGCAGATATTCATTCATATTATAGCTGGATTGTATCATGCCACCTGAAATCATCCATTGCTTAGTAGGAAGTGATCTAACCAGCTCTTTTGCACTGTGCTCCTCCATAGGGCAAGGATTGTTGATCTTAAATGGGCCAAAGTGGTTCCAGCATCGGAGGCTGCTGACGCCAGGGTTTCACTATGATATTTTGAAATCTTACGTGACCGTGATGGCAGATTCTGTCCGCGTGATGCTGGTAGGAATGGCCGTTGGCACTGTCATGAGTTCAAACCTCCTCGTGCTGCTTCCTGATTTAAGAGCCTTTACCTAGTAGATTAGAATGATTTAAAAACATTTAGAGTGTTCTTCCCGGTGCATGCTGGGTCGGCTCCCAGCACTGCAGCAGTGTAGGACAGTGAGCAGAAGCGAGCCCATGCTAACCCACTGCACATCTCCACAGAGTGACCTGTGATGACTTGGCAGACATTGAGCCCTGTTAAAGGTGCTCCTGCCATCTCTCATCCTCCCATGCAACCCAGGGTTTTATCTCAAGACTGTCAGTGAAACTGGCTGGACTGTTAAAGATCACAGCCACCTGCCCACAGGCCCAACATCCCCAGATGCAGGAGGTGGCCCAGACCCAAGTGAATGGCTGTAACCAGGATTCTGTACTCCCAAGAAAAGTTCTCCCTTCTCATTACTCTTTTCCAATAGGATAAATGGGAACAGCTGATCACACAGGATGACTCAGTGGAGCTCTTTGAACATGTCAGCTTGATGACTCTCGACAGCATCATGAAATCCGCCTTCAGTTACCAGAGCAACTGCCAGACTCACCAGTCAGTACCGGGTGATGTCAAATCCTGAAGAAAAGTTCTTGTTGGCCTTAAATGACTTTAAATTCAGTGCGGTGCAATTGTGTCTAATCTGGGAACTACACAGATGTGATAGAAGTAGTGGATGCATTAGCCTCTTGATCTTCATGTCACTAACACAGGGGAATATTGGGATCAGGGGTGCTGGGGCCCACTTCACCACCTCTTACTGCCTGCCTCAGGATCTAGACGTGCTGGTGTCCTTTAAATGCAGAAGCTACTCAAGTATTGATGCCACCAGCTGATCGTTATGAGAATGAGGTGTTGTTTGGTGGGGGTGGTAACAAAAGTGAGATTGTTGTTGTTTAACTGAGACAAAGGGCATTGTTTCAAGACTAACCAAGAAATCTGTTTCCTATACAGTCAATCGTATTATAGAGCTATTCAGATCTAAGAGTAGGTAAAATCATAGTGAGTCTGATCCAGAGATGCTGGAACCTGGGGGTGCTGGAGGTGCTCCTGCACCCGCTGGCTTGAAGTGCTTTCCATTATATGCAGGGTTTACAGTTTGCTTGAATGGCTCTCAGCACCCCCACTACACAAATTGTTCCAGCACCCTGGTCTGATTTTGCTCTGTTGAAGTTAGTAGGTGGTGGTGGGGTTGCTATGGAGTTCAATGGGATCAAGATCAGCCCTACGTTTTCACGTGACTAGTGACGTTTGGTTCTGCAATCTCACATCCCAAAAGCCTGAACTGGGAAGGCACCGAGTGCCTGCCACTCCTATTGCAATAAAGGAGATCTGAGGGCACTTGGCACCTCATAGAACAGGGAACACGGCTTATCAGACGCTTACACTGGGGGTGCAAGGCCAGGCAGAAGTGCTGCAAGCTCAAGACATTCAACTACAAACACTCAAGTTATTCCCCGGGAACACTGCTTAGCCTTGTGCAGGCCGGCCCGAATGCTTTGGAAGGAAAAGTCCATTCTCTGAGGCAGTCTACTGCATTACTGTCATGCTGGGTGAGCTTGGTCTTGCCCTAACCACACACTTACCATTAAAATCAACCAATCTCTCCCCCAATACGCTCAAACTCGCTGCCAGTCTTTATCCATCTCTTCCTTGATTCTCTCTCTGTAGTGACAACTTATATATCCAAACGGTCGTGGACCTCAGCTTGATGGTGCATCTGAGAGTCCAGACGCCCCTGCATCACAACAATCTCGTTTACTGGCTCAGTTCTCAAGGGCGTCGATTCCGCAAGGGCTGCAGATTAGCACATCACCATACGGGTATTTCCCACTATCCTCTTCTCACCTCTCATTAAGGATTTGTGCCAGGCTCCAAGATAAACCCTAGTCTACACTGCAGACTTATGTCAGTATAACTACAGCACTCAGCGATGTGGAAAATCCACACCCCTGAGCAAGGTAGTTATACTGACCTCACTTGTGGTGTAGACAGCCCTAAGTCAACGAGAGGTCTTCTCCCATCGATATAGCTACTGCCTTTCAGGGAGGTGGAGTACCTACACAGGGGAAGCAGGGCCGGCTCCAGGTACCAGCTTGCCAAGCAGGTGCTTGGGGCGGCCACTCCGGAGAGGGGCGGCATGTCCAGCTATTCGGCAGCAATTCGGCGGACGGTCCCTCACTCCTGCTCAGAGCGAAGGACCTCCTGCCGAATTGCCGCCGCAGACCGCGATTGCAATTTTTTTTTTCTGCGCCGCTTGGGGTGGCAAAATCCCTGGAGCCGGCCCTTGGGAGAAGCAACCATCGGTGTAGGTGGTTCAGGCAGCTCTGCTGTGGCCCAGATTCTTTACGTCTCCCGGAAGACACGCAGAAATTATGAGAATCAAAGAATTCTGGTTCCTGGGTATTTTGGGATCCATTGGGGTTCTGGAGAATCACAGTGCACATATCGCTCCACATGGGATATAATTACTTTAATTATCAGAGGTAGCCGTGTTAGTCTGAATCTGTAAAAAGCAACAGAGGGTCCTGTGGCACCTTTAAGACTAACAGAAGTACACTCACTTTAGCACTCAGTACTTCTGTTAGTCTTAAAGGTGCCACAGGACCCTCAATTACTTTAATGTTTTCCTGATGCAGATAAAGTGATCAGAGAAAGAAAGGAGTTCCTTAAAGATGAGCGACAGCTTGAAAAGATCCAGAGGAGGTGCCACCTGGACTTTCTGGACATCCTTCTGAGTGCTAAAGTGAGTGTTACAAGAATTGATCGGCGCCAAGTATGTGAGCATTTTGAGTAGCAGCACTGAGAGAGGCCTGGGCATTGTAGACAGCAGCTTCTGAAAAATATATTTTTCGTTCAGGGAAAAGGTTAAAATTGATTGGCCGGATTCATTAATGTTCAGAAGCATAGTTTTGACACAAGGGATGGATTCTGCCCCAACTCTGTGGCTGCAGAACTTGGCAGTATACAGAGCCCTGTGTGCATAGCTAAAGCCTTGTTCATGTGCAGTCTGGGTTATAAACCATACCTAGTCCCGTTTACATAAAGTATAGTCAGTAGCAAGACATAAGCAGACTCCTGTAGATCGAAAGAGTGATCGTTTTATAGAAATGATCATTTTAACTCAAGTATCAGGGGGTAGCCGTATTAGTCTGTATCCACAAAGACAACGAGGAGTCCGGTGGCACATATGTTAGTCTTTAAGGTGTCACCAGGCTCCTCGTTTTGACTCAGCAATGACTGGGTGGCAATGTAATTACGCACGACTGTGCATACCATTGAAGCTCAGCTTTGTGTTAGGCTGGGGAAGCTCCAGGAGGAAAGAGAAATTTCCACCCGCTGCTGCACTGTGCAGGGGGTACTAGTAAGTCCATTGCTATATCCCTACTAAGGGATGCCATGTGTCTCCCTTGGTGCATCACGCCCTTTCCACGGGCTAGTGAAGGGGGAGGGGACAAGTATGTCTCAGCTTCCTCCTTACCACTCATCCTCCCTCCACGAGGTTTCTTGTCCTCCAGAGGGAGCAAGCAGGAAGCAGTATCTGCATTCGAGGAACAGCAAGGACTGCAGCTGTACCTGTCTGCATCCCAGGAGTTCATTGCACATGCAAGGTTCCTTACGTTTCTCCCCAAGCTATAGGGAAGGTCTGACCCACTGGGATCAATGTT